ACCGGTAACAATTTATTGGATTTAGTTTCCTACATAAAGGAGATATATTGCAAAAACTGGTATCTGAACAATCAGTGCTATAGGAGATAAAGCTTATACAGCATAGATTTTGACGATTTTCTCAGTAGACTTTGTATTATTATTTATAAAATATCTTACGAAATTTATCGGATTTAGCTGTTCAAATGAAGGAGTTTTACAGTAAAATCCCATATCTGAACAACGAGATGTATGGAAGATATATGTTGTAGTCACCCGATCCTTGTTATTTTCACTGTAAGTATTCTGTTAATAATGAGTGAAAATGGTGCGAAATTTTATCTTCCTAGCTGCATAAATGGAGGAGTTATGATAAAAGACCTCATATCTGAACAATCAGTTGTATGGGAGCTATATGTTATAGTGGCCCGATTCTTCCGGTTCCGACAAATGATTAATACATTATAAAAATACACCCACCTACCAAATTTGATCCGGATATCTCTAAAACTGAGAGACTAGATTGCATACAAACAGACAGACAGACGGACAGACGGACATGGATAAATCAACTCAGCTCGACGTTCTGATCATATAAGTATACATTTTAATGGGCCTATCTCTTCTTATTCTGGTACTTACAAACATCGGACCAAAGTTATAATACCATTTCATGCTCATGAAAGGTATAAAAAGTTCTGCGCCATCTGACTTACGCAAGGGTGTCCCAGAAGTAACCTGCCAAACTTGAGGAGAAGGCAGGTGGGGTCGTGAGCACCCTGATAAGCAAAAATTTTTCAGGTAAAAGGGTCACCGTTTTTGAAATATTTAAATTTTTTTGAATTAAAGAAAAATCGTGCCTTTTCATGTATTTTCTTTAACTGCACCTACAAACAAGGCTATACTTAGTAAATTTTTTATGTAAAATACTTTCAGATAGTTGCTTCTCCATATTCAAATGCAACGTAGTTAAAATATTTTAAGGAACCGTTATAAAATTAGGACTATATTGCGATTTTTAACTTTTCGATATTTTCTTCCCCAACTTTGACTATCTCTGGTGAAAAAAAAATGTACTGAGCTATAACTTTACATTACATAAAAAAAAAATGCTCAAATAAATATTTCAGAAATGTGCCCATCTTACTATTTTGAATAGAAAAAAAGTTATAGCGCTTTTGTGGGTAAAGGACTGAGACACGCTAGAATGTATTTAATAGATTTAAATTTAAGTTGCTCTTATTACTTACCAATGACATGCTAAATAGTACAAAGGTACATTATTGGGAAAAAATTTCCAAAACTCAACGCAATATTTAGCAACTTCATTTAGGCGACGATGAAATTTCTCAAGTAAAAGTAAACAAAGCCGAATGTGAGGATAAAATAAACTGTAAAATAATTAATAATGAATTTTCTCAGTAAACAATTTTTCGACAGGAAACGTGGTTTTATTGTGTTGAATTGCAAAAGATATGATTTATAGAAAGAATTAATAGCGAAAATGTTAAAAACGGCAATTTTTGTGAAAGTATTAGTAAATTTAAGTACATCAAAAGTTTCTGAGGCGTTGTTTACTTTTACTTGAGAATTGTCAAAATTGGTAAATCCCAATTAGCTGTTTCTGGAACGTGCCACATTCGTTCGCTACTTCGTGATGTGATAAAAAGAAAAGCTGGCAGCACTCCGCAAGGTTGCGTAATTCTCTTAAAATATGTTCGAAAAATATATGGAAGGAGCTGCTTTACACTGTCAAGGAAAAAATTTTTAGCAACTTCTATTTTCACTTTATTATGCTAAACTTAAATTTGTTTTGGAGTCTAATTAAAGAGTTTGCAATTTAAGTGAAACATTGCAGAATTTATTTTAATTTTTGTACAAAGTTTGATCCAAACCCAGAGATCTACCACATTTTTTTTGAAATCTACCACACAGATTTTTTTTAAAGTCCGATCACTGACTTCAACTTGTTTTTCTTTTATATACTATATTTCGTTACGCTTTTAATGCCATGTCGTTCTTTTTTTGAATTTCCGTTAATGACAAATTTTAAATAACATTTGAATTTTTGTAATGTTGTGTGGTTTATTCTTAGTGTGTGTGTTAAAAATGCAACACCTGAAGCATTGTTTTTTATGTGGTGTTAAATATAATGCAGACACTACTCATTTTTTTAACGTGCCTCAATGTCCCTGGCGTAAGGAGCGTTGGGAAAGTAGCTGTGGGGTAGAGCTGCAGCGAAATGCCTTGCTGTGCGTTAAACATTTTAAGACCAGATTTCATAAATTCATCGGGAGGTCATTATGCCGGAAAGTTCCTCAAACAACACTGCAACTTATAAATCAAAAACAGAAAACAATATAGAAATTAATAAATTTTAACTAAAGAAAATAAACAAATAAAAACAAAACTTCAAATTTACTTAAAAACGACAACCAGCGAAATGTAATTTTTTATTTTTCCTTACACACGCTCATTTTTATTTTTACTCTCCCGAAAACTTTGACTTTTGTAGGTTTGATGACAATTTGGCTTCTACCTGTTTTTATTGTACCATGCACTAGATAACAAAATTTCAAAAAAAGTTCTGAGCTCTGGCATTTCATTATCATTACATATTTAAAAATTTCCTCTGAATCCAAGTATGAAGTCAGATGTTCCTTTTTACGTTAACTTACATATTGCGAATGAATAGAAGAAAGAATGAATTTGAATCATTTGCGAACGAATTTTTGTTTTTTGTGTTGAATATCTCGTAGTTATATGCAAAGCATATTCAACAAGGTAGAAGTGACAATTCAGTCGAGCTCTCTCATAGGTGACTGTAATGTCAGAAAATGTAAACAAAGAAATTAACCCTTTGATATATATTTACCACATTTGATAAAACTCAATATTTTTGAAATGAAAGTTTTTGTGAATATAAAAATATATAAAATCTTATTAGAATCAGCCTTATTTTAGTTATTGCATTTTCACAAAATTACACACAAAATGAAACACACTTATTTATAAAATGAAGCACACACATATTTATAAAACCGTTTTGATAATTTTCTTGCATTTTACTATCCCAATCTGTTTGAGCATTTATTCTTTTATTCAAATACTTAATTCTTAAGTTTATTAAACATTAAAAAAAAGTTCGATTCTTCTAAATTTAAATCAGAAATTAACTTCAATAATTTAGCTATTAAATTTTTGCAATTCGAAATTTTCTTTCCATTAAATTTATTAAAGATTATTTTCAGTTTCTTTATGTTGACAAGGAATTTTGGTTTAGGTTTTATAAGACCACCATTTGAAATTTGGTCTATCCATGTATATGAGTGGGGGATCACGCGCACACGTTCGTTAAAGGTGCGGTGGGCGAAGGATGAGTGGGCGTGGCACCTCCAACCGACCTTTTTGGAGAGGGCATGAACCGCCATTGACAAAAATGTAACCCCCGACCACCTAGGGCCCCTGTGGTTCCCTACGGACCCCTTAGAAAATGGCCAAAAATCGCAATTTTTGCTTGCGTCCACAGTATTTTTGCGTATAATTCCTTTCTGCGTAGGCGGCCTTCGGCCGTGCTTAGTGATTATAACCCTTACTACGTAGAATTCTCCTTTCTGTGTGACCTAACTGGGGCTACCGCCCCAGTGATGTAACCTTGGGAAAGGATGAGGTAACTAGAATTCCCTTTCTGTGTGGTAAACCTGGGCCTGCCGCCCCAGTGATGTCTATTTTGGTTACTGGGTGTTTTATAAAAATGTCTTGTATATAAAAATGTGTATATAAAAATGTATTGTGCAAATGAATATTTAACATTTTTCAAGCGAATAAACGCAAATGAAAATTGTGATTTTTAGCAATTTTTTTAAGGGGTCCTTAGGGAACCATAGGTGGTCGGGGGTTGCATTTTGTCAATGGCGGTTCATTCCCTCTCCAAAAAAGTGGCTTAGAGGTGCCACGCCCACTTACCTTTCGCCCACCGCCCCTTTAACGAACGGCCATAAAGGAAAGCCAACCCCTGACTTCTATTGCACACAACGCACCGTTCAAAAGTTTTGCTCCGTTTCATCTTGGTTTCCTTACATAAAATATTTAAGCAAAGTCGAACGTATTTACTTATTACCAAATTTTAGATGTGCCTACTTGCTCTCCTCGACGGTTTATCTCTTAACAATTTCACGTTTATTAAGAAATGTTTGAGTACATTTTTTTAAACATATTCAAATTTGAAAAAAAAAAATTTCATATGGGTTAACAATTCATTTCAATTTGACATTATAGCATGTTTCTTATGAGAGCAATGTCAAAATCAATCACACTTTGTTGAATACATTTTGGTTATGCCCATGGTGGAATAATACAAGGTGTTGGATATTGACAGCGTTCTCGCTCTAATCCGCCATCTTGGCTCCCTTAGCTATATCGGTGTTTCCCTCTTGAAAAAACTACATTTTATCGCCTTTAAAAAAGTACTAAACTGCCTCATTCCCTATTCCAAAACTGATTTGCAATCACTGAACAATTCTTTGACATTTACTCTATTCTTATCGTTGGCAACTGAAAATTAAATTAGAAATTTCAACATTAATTCGGCAAAAAAACATCGGTTTAAGCTGATGCCACATAAAACTTTTGCTTCGCTTTACGTGACAGATTCGCTTTGACAGATAAGATGAATTGTATGATAATGCACAAAGCATGCCACATAAATCGTTGAAGCTGCAGCGCGAAGCGAAAAGATGGCCAACTCCCATCTTTTTGCGCGCTTTGACAATCAGCCGGTTTAATATTTATTTTGTTTCGTCCAAATTCGGGTTTTCATGCAGAAACATAAAACTTAATTACATTGCTGATAATTTTAAAGCAAAATATATAAAATCCACAGCAACTTTTACGAGTAAAACAGCGGTACAAAATTGCTTTCTTGGCGTTCATTGTGGCATACCTTTTGCGTCTGGCGCGTTGCTGGCAAAGTTATAAATGTCACGCAAAGCTACAAAGTTTTATCTGGCATCAGCTTTAGAGTTCTCCCCAAGGATTTGTAGTTATTTTGGTCGGTGCTTCCTTCCGCTGCAATTCCGTCTGTGGTTCACTGCCACTGGCCTTGCTTTTTCAACGATATAACTGTTTTCTTGGTAAGTTTAGATGGAAGATTTACCCAAGAACTACGTACTTAACTATGCATCTATTCCCCAGTGATTTTTGCTGCTGCAATCCCGTCTGTGGTTCACTGCCACTGGCCCTGCTTTTCCAACGATATAACTGTTTTTTTGGTAACTTCTACCGCTAAGACTTTGTTGCTTTTTCCCTTTTCCCTAAAAAACATAATAGTGCTACAAAGCTCAATAACAATATGGAAACAAATGTTAATAAGCCACAATAATATTGACAATAAATAAGATTTCACTACGATTGAATTTTCTATTAGTAACAGGGTAGTTATAGTGAATGTTTTATTCGATAACTAAAACTATATTTGATGTTTGTAGCGATAAAAATATGCCTAAATCAGCCAAATACCCTATGTGGGTCGGCTGAATCAGTAAAACGTGACAGTAGTTGACTTTTAAGGTTAATATATCGGTCTTGAGTTGGTAAGGTTTTTAAAACATCCGCAGCTTCCTTTAAAGCATCGCTGCTAATTGCTGAGAGGACCAGATTATATTTACCGACATAAGATGTGGTCTTGTACGACTGAAAGCTGGCCTCAATTTGTAGAAACCATTTGTCTGGCATCTCAGTTCAGAACGGTCGCAGCTTGCATTGCGATGTAAGCTCTACATCTTTAGCTGGCATTTTGTTCGATGAAATATTCTCCCCATCCGTCGATGCGCCCTTTTGTCGATTCCGTCATGTAACGACTCGGGGTCACCACTAATTTTTTGGTTTTGGAAGTTTGACTATAATTATAGGACATTGTGTTTAATAAACTAAATTACCATTTATTGCATAAGTACTACGTTATATATACTACTTTCGCGAATTTAGCTTATCATAATATACCGTTTGTAACTATTTATATGCAAAATTTTATATGAAAAATAGTACCAAACTTCGTACTACTTCGCAAAGCGGGCTTTTTTTCTTCCCGTTTCTCTCGTGCTTCCATATTACAACCTTTTGTAAGGGAGCTGTCGACATGAGCTGTCACTACGTACAACACCTTGTATAATTCCACCATGGGTTATGCCTTTGTTATATGACAGACATTTTTAATTTGTTCGTATTTTTATTTGCTCAAAGTGGTTGCGCTTGTGCTCTCTAGCTCGAATGATAAATAGAATTTTTTATAATCTAGAATTTTAAAAAGCTTTCAATTCGTGCCGAATGTTTGCTGTAAAGGATTATTTGTGAATACAATTAATATTTTAAATATTCTCCGTACCCTGGTCAGATGGCGCTTATGTTGCAAAAAATTTGCCAACAATTATGTCACTAGGTAAACTTCCGACAATTTATATACTTATTCTATAATTCAAAATAAAATTACTTGCAAATTGTCAGAAGTCTAGGTTAAGGAACAACGGAGATATTACGATAGTAAGAGCGTCGGTTCTCCACTCGATCCATCATTATTAGAGCCGTGATACAAAAAAGAAGGTAGTTTCACTGAATGATTTTGGTCGCCATGTTAGTCATTTGACTTTTGCTGGCATTATTACATTGTCACCGAAAACAAGCGACCAGCTACAATAAATAAATAATTTTTTTGGTTGCCTTTTGAAAAATTTTAAACAAAAGATGTGCATGTGTGCATATGTATGTACATACAAGCAAAGAAAAAACCAACCATTTTTTTAAACAATAAAAAGAAAACAAAATAGTTGCGTGCTTAAGGCATGCCAAAATTCTGTACATTTGTTTGATTCCGGGTTGACATTTTTTAAATTCCCAACGCTCGCTTTTGTTAGAAATATGTAGAGTCCGACCGATTCCAATTTTTTTTCAGGTACCGATGCCGATGCCGATTAATCGGCTTATGGGGAAAGAATCGGCCGATGCCGATGGCGATGCAGATTCCATAAAAAATTGCAAATAAATGTATTAATTCATAAAATCACTTCATTTCACCGAGTTAAAAAAAAAGAATTGAATTAATTGGCTTGTTATGCAACATTACATACACATGTATGTACATACATACATATGATGTGTAAAAATATATGTACATACATCACATTTATGTACATTACATAAAACACTTTTTTATATGGAGCTAAGCAAAAATTTTTTAGGAAAAAATTTCGTCTCGTTTTGTACTAAAATACACTCTTTTGCACTCAATGCATAAGAACTTATAAGCTAGATATGTATGTATATTAGGGTGGTCTAAAAAAAAGTAAAGTCGGAAATTTAATGCTCTCACCCCCTAGGATTGTTCTATACCGAAAAAAAAGTATACCCCTGTTTTTTTATTTTAAAATCAAAATATATTTAGAGGTCGCTCAAAGCGCT